ATAGTTGGATTGGATGTTTTTCTAACCTGGCATATTTTAGTAATTAATTGGTGAGTTTAGTTCTTTGACATTTATTGTAACTGACTTGTTTCTACCATCTTAGTTACTTAGAGTGCTTTATGATTTCCCTTTTTCTGTATTCCTTTTTATTTTTTTCTTACTCTTTGAATTGATATATTCATGTCTCCTTAATAGATAAGAACCATTTTACTAGTTTCTTCTCTCATCTTTATCATCGTCTTCGTTTCATTTTCTTTGGGTTTATTCTTTTGCAGAGATATTTTCAATTTTGATCAAGTCTAGTTTATGAGAAAAATTTGTTTTATAGATTTTGCTTTTATTGTATCTAAGAAATCTTTGCTTATCCCAAAGTCACAAAGATTGTCTTCTGTTTTATTTCTAGAAGTCTTATGAATTTAAGTTTTGCATTTAGGTTAATAACTTATTTTGACTTAATTTTTAATATAATGTGAGGTACACTCTGCAGTTCACTTTTTTTGCATATCCAGTGGTTCCAGCACCATTTGTTGAAAAGATTATCCTTTCTCCACTACATTGTCTTTGCACTTTTGTTGAAAATTAATAACGTCATATTTGTGTAGGAATGTTTTTGGACCTTTTCTGTCCCATTGATCTATTTGTCCACTGGCACCAATGCCACACTGTTTTGATTACTTAGATTTGTAATAATTCTTGAAGTCAGGTGGTGTAAGTCTTCCAACTTTTTCTTCTTTTTTGATATTGTTTTAGTTATCCTAGGTCCTCTGAATTTTCGTATGAATTTTGGAATCAACTTGTCAATTTCTGTTATGTAAAACAGCCTGCTGGTTTTATTGGGATGGAATAGAATCTATAGGTCAGTTTAGGGAGAAATGACATCCTAACAATATTTAGAGTATCTGATATATGAGCACAATATAGATCTCCCTTTATTTAGGCCAGTTTTAATATCTCTCAATAATGGTTTGCAGTTTTCAGCACATGGATCATATATATTTTTTGTCAGATTTACCTCTATTTTATGTTTTTGATGTTATAATTGATTTTTTAAAATTTCAATTTGTGGTTGTTTCTTTGATTTATGGGTTATTTAGAATTTGTTATTTAGTTTCAAAATATTTAGGGGATTTTCCAGATATCTTTCTGTTATTCGTCTAATTTAATTATTGCAGACAGAGAACATATTGAACTCTTTTAAATTTATTGAGACTTGTTTTATAGCCCAGAATATTTTTTCTATGTTGGTAAATATTCCACGTATGTTTGAAAAGAATGTGTGTTCTGCTGTTGTTGGGAAGAGTGTTCTATAAATATTGATTATATCAAGTTGATTGTTAGTGTTTTCAAGTGTTTCATATCATCAGTTTCTTATATACTTGTTTTATTAATTATTGAAAGATGGGTATTGAAATCTCTGCTATAATTACAGTTGTGTCTGTTTTTCCTTGCAGTTCTATCACATTTTGCTTCATGTATTTTGAAGCTCTGTTATTAGGCACATAAATGTTTCAGATTATTATATCATCTTGATGAATTGACCCTCTTATTACAAAATGACCCTCTCTTTCTTTGGTAATACTTTTTGCTATGAAATCTACTTTGTCTGATATTAATATAATCACACCAGCCTTCCTTGATTAGGTTTAGCATGGAATATTTCTTTTTTTTTTTTTTT